AAAAAAACAAACCCTTAGCTTACAAGTAACTGCAACAACACCTTCCGTTGGCGAGGTGTTGTTGCGGCCCTATGCTCCCCTGGGAGTTTACAGGAATAATAATAAAAAAAGTCTTCAGATCTACCGCTAAGCTATCATGTAGCATGTGGTATAGAGGAAATGTAATTTATTACTGTTTTTATTTTTTTTTTTTTCTGTGTTTTTCAGTTAATTAAACACTCAGTGAGTTTGCTGTATGGAGACTCATCCAATCTGTTTTAACTGATGTTTTAAGCATTCCATAAACCCATTTCTTAGTAGATGAAAGCACCTACACCCACCTCTAGCATTGGGTGTTTATGTGTACTTTTTCTAAGTTCTCAAAATATTTTTTGTAATCTTATAATAAGTATAGTTTTTTGTTTTTTTGTCGTTAAGCGCAAAGCTACAACAGAATGGGCTATCTGTGCTGTGGTCACGACGAGTATCGAAACCCGGTTTTTAGCATTATAAGCCTTCAGAGTTACCACTGAGTCACTGGGGGGGGAAACAATATAAAAAGCACTGTAAACTTAATATGGTTTCTTATTTTGTCACCAGTTTTTTATTATTATTAATGAGACGCTATACTAATTTATAGAAATCTTGAAGCTTTTTTTAAGGGATTTCTTTATATAAATTAATTCAATACCAGAAGTCGCTTGACGCAGGAAATTTATTAATTAGTATGACATCGTTTCTGTTGATTAATTACTCAAAGATTTCTGGAATTTTCTTCATGAATATTGCATTTCGATTGGACAGTTCACATGTCATACATAAGTTCCTGATACACATATGTGCCCCCTGATGACGTAACAGTAAGCTTGGGAGCTTATGACGCGACGAACCGGGGCTCGATCCTCGTGGTGGGCGCATCAAGGTAGACCATAGTGCAGCTTTGTGCCTTGCAAACAAATAGAATGACACAGAATATACATCATGACAGATTGATAATTTTATTGAATATGATTACTTACCACAAAGAGGGCGCTAACAGTAATACTCGTAAAGGATTTTTTTTTCTATACTAATTAAGTTCTCTTACATTTTGCATAAGAATGAATAACAAACAATAAAAAAGTCCAATTTGTACAGAGTTTGGACCAAGAGATACAGTCAACGTTTCGTGATAAACTGATACACAGAAGGATAGATAGACTAGTGAATAAACTTAATGTCTTTTCGGTTAAATTTTATGTGGTTTTAGTGTCATTAGGGGGAGAAGCGCTTTCGTTGTCTTGAGAAACTTTAATCACTAAAATCTATTACGCACAATCAACCATTCTTTTCTCTCAAAATATGTCGAACATTTGTAAATCACTTCAATTCCATTCTGTCGTCCATGTTGTCGAGAGATAATTCATTTTAAAGATGTGAACTAAATGCAGCTAGATCATCAATTTTGCTAAATTTATGGTATTAAAATAAATGTTAAATATTCTTTACCTTAATTCTGATGTGTTGTGACATAAAAAACTGATGAAAAAATTACATTTTTTTTCTCCAATATGAATTTCGAATCCCCATCACACCAAACATGCTCACCCTTTCAGCC